CCGGCTTACACTCCCTTTTCTTCCGTCCACGTCCCTCAAGGATGACGTTACGTCCACAGCGTTGGAGTAAATCCAGGTCGCGCGGCCTCCGCTGTTGACGCGACGCAAGGGGCCGGCCCGGAGTTGCGCCGCGGCAATGGCGTAGGCGCCTTCTTAGAATCGGGCCCGCGCTCCACGTGGCGAGCCCAGTCCGCTGAGGCCAGGCGGACGACTGGGGGGGCGGGGGCGACGGGGCGGGGCTGGAGCGCTCTTGGTGAATGTCCATGTCCCAGGAGCAGACGGGAACTGGGCTGAAGAGGGTCGCCCATCGGGCCTTACAGGGAGGCAGAAAAGATGCCTGGATCCCTCAGCTGCTGGTCGATCCCATACGGTGTGTTTGTCACTGTTGATCATCATATCCCAGGCACACCTCAGAAATATCAATCGGTTGGATCAATGTACACAATTTGAGGATCCCACAATCCAGGCAAACTTCTGCTGCCTCAATGGAAATATGTTGGCACTGTGATAAAATGATTTGCCCCCTAGTCGCCTGGAGATTTCCCCAAGTGTCCCAGCCCAACTCCCGTTCAGCAAGGGCATCGATGAGACTACTGTAGTTTAAAATAGTTGTATTTAATCCCTGGCAATTGACACCATTCCAAAGGTGAATGCGGATCCACCCTTTAAATTAGAGCTCAGACTCTCTCCCTCTGTTATACTTGCTGTGTTTTCCTCAAAGGGCACATTCCTGCATAGGCACAGAGGTAGTGCTGGGCACGCTGGGCACGCAGGGGGTTGGGGAGGGCAGAGCACTTGGGTGGAGGTCGGTGACGAGGAAGGCATCTTGCCCCTTGCGTAGTTGTCCCTGAGAACATTGCTGAGCCTATTTATTCATTCCCTCGCTCTTAAAACGTTGGCTACTTCATGTAGCAGGCATTCCCTAGGTTTGGAGGAAGACATCATCATCTCTCTAGATCAGTCCATAGCCTTATGAGAAGGCAGACAGGTGAGCAAAAGATTACAGCACTGTGTGATTAATATTAGAGGAGGGGGTTCCCAGGGGCACAACAGGCAAGGCTTTGAAAAGAGCAGATATTCGAATTGTGCTTTTTTTTTTTTTGCGGTACGCGGGCCTGTCACTGTTGTGGCCTCTCCCGTTGCGGAGCGCAGGCTCAGCGGCCATGGCTCACGGGCCCAGCCGCTCCGCGGCATGTGGGATCTTCCTAGACTGGGGCACGAACCCATGTCCCCTGCATTGGCAGGCGGACTCTCGACCACCGCGCCACCAGGGAAGCCCTCGAATTGTGCTTTGAAGGACAAGAAGTAAGTAGTTCACGTATAAGAGGGGAGCAGGATCACAGGAGGAAGAGGGAATGGAATATGCAGAGGCAGGAGACACCCTATGAGGAGAGGCTGCATGATAGGTGGGGTGTTGGGTGGGGTAGGGGCATCTTGCAAAATTTCTGTGCCATGCTAAAGGTTTCAAGTTTTATCATCCTCAAAGTTAGAGAACCATGACTTTTAAAGTACTGGAGTGGCATGATCAGATTTGTGTGTCTGAAATCAGCAGAGAGGGGTATAAGCTGGGAGCTTGGTTAGCCTATCGCAAAGGCCCAAGAAAAGAAATGATGACTGGGGAAAAGGCTCCAGTAGGGGGCAGGGAGCATAAAGGAGGGAGAGGTGACCTCGCTAACTACTTGAAAGGGGGAGGGTGAGAGACAAGGAGGGGTAGTTGCAAATCTGGTGGTGCTGCAACACAGTGTTAGGAAATAGATGAGGGGAGCAATTCTTTTGGGTGACGGATGAGAACACCGAACATGTGTTAAGTTTTGAGCACTTTGGATTTAAAGTAGGGTAGGGGATACAAAAGAAATAAAACTGCCCTCCAGTAGTTTCATTGGGTACTTGAGCTTTTAAGATTCTCACCATGAACTTAGAACAAAATAGGTAACTGTGGGTATAGCTAAAATCATTAGGGACAGAGGCTTTCTCCACTCAGGAAGTGCTGTTCTGTTCTTAATGTGTCCTTAACCCACACATCACCTTATGTTAATTGTTTGTCTGCCTTCCCTGCTAGAATATAAGCTCCCAAGAGCAGGGAAGTATATTCCTGGCACATAATAGCCAATAAATATTTGATAAATGAATGGACTTAATTTCCTTGGGCTTAGTTTTCTCAAATAATTTCCTTGGGCTTAGTTTTCTCAAATAAGCAATGTGTTAATAATAATGCCCTTGTCTATCTTCTATACTTGCCTATATTCTATATACTATATTCTACATAAATTAGCCTATAGCATTGTTAAGATCAAATATGGGGCTTCCCTGGTGGCGCAGTGGTTGAGAGTCCGCCTACCGATGCGGGGGACGTGGGTTCGTGCCCCGGTCCGGGAGGATCCCACGTGCAGCGGAGGGGCTGGGCCTGTGAGCCATGGCCGCTGAGCCTGCGCGTCCGGAGCCTGTGCTCCGCGGCGGGAGAGGCCACAGCAGTGAGAGGCCCGCGTGCCGCAAACAAAACAAAACAAAACAAACAAAACAAAAAGATCAAATATGAAAATCCTTTAACATTGTCCAAATATTTTCTATTTATTTTCATTACTGTCTTACTATTAATATTCTACTTCACCAATAAAGAGAAAGGAGTGGGATATGTGACTGTGGGTTGGGAAAAATCAAATACCAGAATTATAATCTAGTTTGCCTTTCCATAGAATTGAAGGAAATAGAAAATAAAACAAACTAGTGAATATAGCCCAAAAAAAATGAAGAAAGAAAGAAAAAAGAAATCAAGGAAATAATACAGCCATGGTATCTTTCCTTCACGTAACTTAAAAAAAAATAAAGTGATTCTATTTGGATTGGAGGGATTTAACTTTTGTCTCAGCAACTGGAAATAGGGCTGGACATGACCAGAAAGTCACAAAGGAAGTGGACTATTTAGAACTTAACTATAAGAATGCAGGATTGAAGACTGCATCTTTACCTGCCATAGAGTACTAGGTTAAAGTTATCTTAGGGGACTTCCCTGGTGGTCCAGTGGTAAAGAATCTGCCTTACAATGCAGGGGACACAGGTTGCATCCCTGGTCAGGGAACTAAGATCCCACGGGCTGTGGGGTAACAGCCCGCATGCCACAACTACTGAGCTCGTGCGCCTCAACTAGAAAGCCTGCGTGCCACAAACTACAGAGCCCATGAGCTCTGGAACCCACGCCCCACAACTACAGAGCATACACGCTCTGGAGCCTGCACGCCACAACCAGAGAGAAGCCCGCATGCTGCAACGAAGAGCCCGCGCGCTGCAATGAAAGATCCCACGTGCCACAACTAAGACCTGATGCAGACAAAAATAAAATAAATAATAAATAAATCTTTTAAAAAATAAAGTTATCTTAGTCTCAGGTTCTTTAATTGTTAGTAACAGAAACTTATTCAAACAAAACAATTTACTAGAAAGAGTAAAATGTAAAGAAGAGCAGAAGGTAAAATTGGATGTCATAAGAGGTGGGTGCAAGGAACTGGAAGTTGGGAACCAATATTCTCCTCCATTTCTGGGTTTCTTATTTACAGTTCTGTCTGCAATCTGCTTCTTTTTTCTCCGTTTAAGATACACTCTTCATTAGTGAACATCTGGTGGAAAATGTCTTCCTCAGCCCTAAAATATCTTTAGTGCCTCCTCCCCACTGACTTTTAGACTTCATCCTAGTTTCATATTCCTAGAGAGAAAATCTTACTGGCCTAACTTGGTCCAGGACTCCATTTTTGGTCTAGTCAGCTGTGGCAGGGAGAGGAGGGGTCATGCAGGTAACTCCAACACAGCAGAGCTCTGTGTGGAGGGGATTCTCCGAGAAAAGGGAGTAGGCTAGGCCGGTAGACATGTTACGTGAGTTGGCAATGTTAGGACAAACACTTAACCAGTTTCAGCCAGACTATGCAATATAACTTTGTAGTTTCACAAACCAGGCTGAACATCAGAAGCACCAGGAAGGCTTTTAAAAGATACAGATTCTTTGAGCCCCCAATGAATTAGAATCTCTAGATGCAGAGCCGAGGAATCAGCATTTTTAAAGAACCCCAGTTTATGATGTGACTGGCCTTTAGGAACCCCTGCTTTAAAAGACAGGCCCAGAATGCCAAACAAGCAAATATATCAACAGAAATGGGAAGTTACTCATAAATAAGGAACATTCCTATATACAATAAACAGGGAGGTTTTTCCTGGAGAACAAATATTTTCTTTAAAATACAGTTTTATTTTCTCTGATTATAAAAATCAGAAATGCTTATTATTAAGAAAAAATTCCCATTTTAGACATGTTAGCTTTCCAGATGTTTAAGTACATATGTATAAATATTTTTTGTTTTACAAAAATAGCACCATAAAGTATATGTACTATTTTTTAGCCTATTTTATTCACTAAAAATAGATCATGAATGTTTTCTTATGGCAATAAAGCCAGGTCTACTCAATTTTCGGTGGTTGTACAACATTGCAATCTATGGATACATCATAGTTTACTTAACTAATTCCCTATTGTTGGACATCCCCCCCCCCATAATGTCTAATAAGTGGAATTGTTGGGTTAAAGTTTGTGAACATTTTTAAGGCTTTTGATACATATTAAATAGCTATTTGCCCTTCTCTCCAAGTTTCTACCAGTTTATGTTCTCACTAAAAGTATTCGAGAGTACCTGTTTCTCCACACCTGTAACGGGCCGGCTGGGATTTCAATTTCATTCTATCCAAATTGCACATACCCCTTTACAGTAAAACTTGCTCCTTAAATTGAATACATGATTACAATAGAGACCTCGTGCAGTAAGAGACCTCCTGTATAAATAAAGGGAGGGAAGAAGACTACATTATTCTCTAGATGATTTTAAAAAATGTTTTTCAGGGCTTCCCTTGTGGCACAGTGGTTGAGAGTCCGCCTGCCGATGCAGGGGACACGGGTTCGTGCCCCAGTCCGGGAAGATCCCACATGCCGCGGAGCGGCTGGGCCCATGAGTCATGGCCGCTGAGCCTGCGCGTCTGGAGCCTGTGTCCCGCAACTGGAGAGGCCACAACAGTGAGAGGCCTGCGTACCGCAAAAAACAAAAAAAATGTTTTTCAAAGGTCTGTTACAAGGGGAGTGACTGGAGATAAGAACATCATAAAATCTTATCTAAGATATGTTAAGCAGCTTTGTAATTGGAAACTAGGCTTACAAGCTAATCAAATTAGCAGAGGGGTAGAGAGGAAAAGAATACTTGGGGTATTCCTGCCTTGGAAGAGCAGATGTGCTCATTTCTAGTGTAAGATCTCATACACTACAGTTTAAAAAGGCATGGTAGATCACAATGAGATACCATTTCACACCCATTAGGATGCCTAATATAAAAATAACAAATATTGGGAAGGATGTGGAGAAACTGGAACCGTCACATACTGCTGGTGGTGCAGCCAGTTTGGAAAGTAATTTGGCAGTTCCTCAATAGATTAAACGTAAAGTTACCATATTGCCCAGCAATTCCACTCCTTCATTTACGTCCTCTGTTTTCCTAAATGCTCTCCTCTGGTCATGAGTAGGTGAGGATCTGTTTAGCCAAGATAAGCAGGGTGCCTCTGAACTTCCCATGGGAAAAATTGAAATCTGCTTCTTCTCCTTTTTTTCACTTAGTCTCTAGGTTGAGAACTCCAAGTAGTAAGAGACACAGGATAAGAATGGGAGAGACTGAGCCTTTTTGAGAGTCTGCTCCTCTGCTGAATACCATTTTGAAGGGAAAGAAGAAGTCGAATGGCAATTTCCAGTCCATTCTGGGTTGGCCTCTTGGAGGCTCTGGCTTCTGGGTAATGTCCACAAAGGTCACAACAGTTGTCAAAGGTACTTCTGTTTCTTGTTGGGAATCCTGCAGGAAGAATGTCTGTGACAGGTTAGTGCTTGGTACCCATTCAAATAGCCCTCCAATTTGGCTGTTATTATTACTTCCCTGAATAAAGACTCAAAACACACTGCTCTAAGCAAGACAGACCTTTTTCTCATATTGATCCTATGTAGTTCTCCTTCTGAGTGAGACACAAGGCAATTAATTTCTTAGCAATACTCGAGGACACCAGAACTGTGAACAGTTACACCTACCAAAAGACTGACTCTAGCTTCGCGCAGTTGGGGACCTGTCTGATATCAAAGAAGCCACTGCTTCTGTTATGTGTTTAGCAGCTCTACCTTATCAGGTAGAAACTGCTGCTGTTAGGTGTTTAGCAGCTCTACCTTATCAGGTCCCAGAAGGTTCCAGGCTCTGAAACAGTACACACGTACTAGCAGTATTTCTATTCCTTCTTCAGTTGTAGAAAGAAATGTGAAACTTCATGGAAAAAGCAAAGAACTCAGTAATGTAGATTGAAAAGCCATCAAATTCACAGAATCTCAGGGTTAGAAAGGATCCTCCCAACCAAACACCAATTCAAGTCAAATGAAAAAGATGCTCCTTGTCAAGCTGACTCAAGTATCTGATCTAATAGACATAGCTTTGGGTAGATATGGTTGCAGCCTGATGACTGGAATTAAGTTTGTCTAAACTGAATTCCCTTTGTTCTGACTCTGTTCACTAGGCAAACTTTTGATTATAATTTGACAGTAAATAACTATCTTGTTGAACCAGAAATGAAGATTTTCATTTACCTTCCTTCACTCTGATGCCACATATCTCTGCTGTGGTCTTTGGCAACAGTAAATATCAGGCTCTGGGAACATAATTTTGCTTGGTATACCCTTCCCCAGGCATTTTTAAAATAAATGGATGTGGGGCCAGTGTTGTGATAATCTTGCATGTCATAATAACTCTTTGGATTTTTTTTTTTTAAACAGTGAAGCTCATATGGGACTTGGCACAGAACTAATGTAACTTCTGTGGCATTGAAAGACCCACATACATTCCAAGTACAGCCAGCTTACGCTGAAGATGCTGAGGGTATCCTGACTCCAGCCAGGCATTGAAAACTGGCTGAGACTAACCAGACAAAGAAAATGGGGAGGAGTTTATTACTTAAGATTAAGTAATAAACTTTCTTTGGACTTTAACTTACAAAAGGATTTCCTGTTTAGGATTTTAATTTTTCCCTAGGAACTTTATAATGGGGAAAGGATATATATTCAATTTTTGGAGCAAATCTTTGCAGTTGACATTACTGAAATACGTTAACATTGTTATTTAACCTCACTGCAGAATGCCTGATGAGCTATATGAGCTGGGATGGCTAGAAACACTTTGGGATGGGAAATAGAATAGGGAATGAATTTTCAGCCTTGGGTTCAGTGTTGCCTAAGAGTTGATTTAATTAATGGGCTGTTCTGACTCATTTCAGAGCCTTTAGGGGGAGGGGAGATTTTAAACTGCCTACAAGCAGTCCCAGGTGTTGTGGTTATAACTAGGGTAGTGGCCTCATAATGGAAGAGTGTAGTTCTACATTAGGAAGCTCACTGCTACACACCCAAGGCAAATCTACCTATCTAGTGTTTATTAGTGATAAAGCTGATATTTTGATCTCCACCTGACTCTTTTAATTGGTTTCAAGCTGAGGTAGGGAAAAGTGTCATTAGCCCCTGCAAACTCCAAAATCAGGGAACTTCTGGAGCCTTGGGGTCAGCCTATACTGAGAACTGACCTCTTAGATAGCTATGAGCCCAAGAAGGCAAACTTTAGGCCCATGTCTACCCAAATATATATATACACACACACACACATATATACATACATATACACACACACATATATATGTGTGTATATATATGTTTAAGTCTATAGCGGTATTTCAATGGCTGGGAAATCCCACATGGTAAAAGTTCTTCAGACTCACTTGGGATTAGGCTCATCAAGAGCTACTACTGGACTTGATTTTAGGATGGCAATGTAAAGACATGTCTTCTCTCTGTATATCTTAAAACCACTCCAATACAATAAGAAACAGATACAAAATTCCATCTTCACTGAAATGGAGAGATATCATAATATGTGAATACAGAAAACAGATGGAGGCAAGGTTTCACAGAGGGAAAGAAGGCCAAACCTAAAAGCCTTCAGAGACTAGAAGAAGATCTCTGTAGAACCCTGAAAGACTCAGTAACAGAAGACAACAGGGAAGTAGGGATGAAGCAGGGACAGAAAATGGTTACTGAATGATACCCTCCTCAATGCAATCAGACAACCACCCTTTCCCTATCTCAACAAGAGACTAGAAAATTTAAACCAGAGAAATTCTGGATTTAGGGCCACTGGACATAGAAAAGGACAGAGTGAGGGCTTCCCTAGTGGCACAGCGGTTAAGAATCTGCCTGCCAATGCAGGGAACACAGGTTCGAGCCCTGGTCCAGGAAGATCCCACATGCCGTGCAGCAACTAAGCCCGAGCGCCACAACTACTGAGCCTGCGCTCTAGAGCTGGTGAGCCACAACTACTGAAGCCTGCAAGCCTAGAGCCTGTGCTCTGCAACAAGAGAAGCCACCGCAATGAGAAGCCCTCGCACCTCAAAGAAGAGTAGTCCCCGCTCTCTGCAACTAGAGGAAAAAAAAAAAAAGCTTGCACACAGCAACGAAGACCCAATGCAGCCAAAAATAAAAAAATAAATAAAATAAATAAATTAAAAAGAAAAGGACAGAGTGAGGTATGGAACTAAAAATAGGGCAATTATTCTGTATAATGAAATCCCTTCCCCCAGTCTGGCTTCAAAATGGTGAGAGATGGTCTTACACACATACCCTTCAGTCAGGAGCCAGGAGGGGTTTTTTTCTGGAGAAAATTAACAGTCCCAATAAGAAGATAAAAAGATAATGACATTGGCAGTCCTACAACCCTCAAAGCTACTGCACCTAACCACCCTACAGTGAAGCCTACAAGTCAATAAGTCTCACTCATGATCACAGAGCTTTCCATCAGTTTAGCACCTTACTCTTATTTTGGATAGACAGCTAGAGATTGCCAGGTGAGTGGGAGAAGTTTCTCATCTTAAAGCGAAAAACTGTACCAAATGAACGGGATAAACAAATTCAGAGGAAACAGAGATTAAAGATGAAGACAAAAAATTGTTAATATCTTAAAAATAGATAAGAAAAGGATATTATGAAAAGATACAGAATAGGAGTGAGCTCTCAGATATTAAAAATGTGATAGTCAAAAGAAATTCAGTAAAAAGACTCAAAGACAAAGTTGAGGAACTCTTCTAGAAAGAACAAAAAGATAAACAGAGAGACGATATAAGAGAAAAGAAAAAATTAGAGAATCAATATAGTGATCCTGTAACAGATTAATAGGAGTTCCAAAAAGAAAGAACAGAAAATAGTGGGGAGGAAATTATTAAACATATAATAATAATTGAAATTTATCAGAACTGAGCTTTAAAAGAGTAAAAAAATCCCATGAATTGTTCGGTATGATGAATGAAGAAAAAATACTACCCAAGGCCTCATTCTGTGGAAACTTCAGACTATTAGGGGTAAAAATAATATCTTAAAATGGCTTCTCAACAGCAATATTGGAAACTAGAGGAATGCTTTCAAAATTGAGAGTGAAAATTATTTTCAATCTAGAATTCTATACCTAGCCAAATGATCAACTATGCATCATGATAATGATAACGATGGTGGTTAAATAAAGTTATCTTTAGATGTGGGAACTAAAGAAAAAAATGTATTTTACATGCTCCTTTTCTCAAAGATGTTATTAGAATTTGAGCTCCACGAAAACAAGAGAATAAGCCAAGAAAAATGAAAAAGTAATGTCTAGTTAACAGCAACTCTAACACAAGTAGGAAGCAAGGGGGAATCTCCAAGATGACAGTAAAGGAAAGCTCCAAAACAGCTGCTGGGCAGCAACTAGTCCATTTTACATCAGATTATGGAGGTCTCCATGAAGAAAATACGTAGGAAAGGTAGAACAAGTAGCACTATTGGCAAGTTCAGCTGGCAATGCAGCTGGAAAACTGCATTGAGAGAAATTTTACAGAGCTGTTAGAGTATGTGAGAAGTTTTAGTCATTAGCTCAAAGAAAATTAAAGAAATGAAATATGAGGTAATTATTAATTTTAGGAAGAATAAAACATTTCACAAAAATTTAATTACTTGGCTCAACATAAATGTATGATCACAGAAACGAAACACTGAATATTGACTTAATAAAACATTTTGATGTAACAATACTGGGAGAGTGGTGGGAGGGGTAGGAGAAGAGTAACAAAGCTAAACTCATCTACCAAGATAGGATGTCAATAGATTATATAAACTCTAAATTCAAGAGATAACTGAGTATGATATTGCTTAGAAATTGAGACAAATACCAGCAAGAAAGAGGAAGAGTTAAACAGGTTAATTTCTGGAGAGCAGGGGGGATATGGGACTTGATTTTTTGTTAAGAGATCCTCTTTTCTAGCATTTTTGACTTTAAAAATATGTTTACATATTATTTTGATAAATTATACAATTATTAATTAATTTGATATATTATACCATTATGTAGCATTAGCCTAATCTGCAGGGGAATTCTGAGCTATAATGTAGGATTTACAGTTCCAACAATTGTGTGCTCCCAACCCAAGGCAAGGGAGTTGGGCTCTCATATTCCTATGCCCTTAAGTCATTAGTTAAGAGCCATCTGGGAGATGTATATTTCCAGGCACTTGACAGGTAAAGTGGTTTCCAGTAGCTTGAGGGTGGCCTTCCAAAACAAACAAAACAAAAAAGGAAGAAAAACTTCAGAATACCTACCAAATTAAAAAAGGGTGGTGGTGGTGGCGGGTGGGGGAGGGGATGAAAAATACAAGGGTTATTGCAAAAAGTAGGATTACATTTGGTAGTCAACAGGCTATTACCATATAAGACATAAAAGAACTGAATGAAACGCCCAAACTAAAAACTGTCCATCATCCTTGACTC